GGATGCTGCACCTTTCTGGATAGGTCCAGCTGCGCAGGCGCGTCGTTAGACATGGGCATTCGGGGCTTCAGCCCCGGATGGTTTTTTTATAGCCCCAGATCTCAAAAAAAAAAAATATTGATCCTATTTTTTTAAATTACAGGGTATTTTAATCTAGCCTTCGGAATAATGTATTAAAGACGATTAAAATGTTCAAGCAGATCAAATTTACTATGGTTACTATGGTTACACAGCACGCTTGAGTTTAGATTGCGCGCCAGAGGAGAGAGAGAGAGTGTGCCTGATCGGTTAACTTACAGTTAGGCTACTTCATCTACATTCTTCACGAGAAACGGATTATGACTCAAAAAATGGATTAGCTTTTAGCTTGCGAAATAGAAGGTCTCACGTACTTTACATGTTCTGCATTAAAACCACAGTGAGTACAGGGCTAACTTAGGTAAGTTAGACGACCAGGGTTTGCTGAAGAAGAGTCTTCACAGACCTGAGCTTTGATGAGGGAACGGCGTCAGTAAATAAGATAACTCTTCTTGCCTCTCATCTGCCTCGTATCGTTCACGACTCCTTATTTTACTTTTTAAAAAGTGTCTAATGACCATAATAGCTACCACCAGAAGCCACAAACAACAATGACAGTCAAGCCTGAAACGAGACTTCCTTAGATTTCCACGACGCATGCGCGAGAATTGCGATCTCTTTCAACTACCTCATTTCATTTCTCGCACATGCGTCGTGGAAATCTAAGGAAGTCTCGTTTCAGGCCTACAAGGAAGAAAAGGAATAGTAGAATAAAGTCGTTATTTTTGTTTGTTTTTTCGCACAAAAAGTAGTCTCGTCGCTTGATAAACATATAGTTGAGCCGCTGTAGGCACATGGAATGTTTAAACATTTTCTTCATTGACTTTCTGGGCCATCAAGAGCCAGTCCCTTAGGCAGCCAATGTGGTAGTGAGACAGCTCTCAAATTTAATCAAAAATATCTTCATTTGTGTTCCGAAGATGAACGAAGGTCTTACGGGGTTGGTACAGCATGGGGGTGATTAATTAATGACTTAATTTTCATTTTTGGGTGAACTAACCCTTTAAGTTAAAGTTCAATTGTTCACTGATAAAGATAGTCACTTGTCGCCACCTACTGGCTTACTCTTGAGATTTTAAGTGTTTTTGAAAAAAGCATTTTTTCCAGCTGTTAGCTGAATTACAGGACTGTAGTTGTTAGGGATGTAACGATTCACTTGCAACCGGTTGAAAATCGATAAAAATGTGTGACGATTCAAGTCGGTTGAAATGTTAAACAAATCACGATACACATTTTAAACAGCAGGCGCGTTTACTGAATAACCTACTGTGAAGTTGTGAACCTCGCTTTACAGGCACAATAGCAGCGAGCACACACTGGCGCGAACCTCGCGAGTGTTTTCACTTCATTCCTAAGGAACTTGAGCTTATGTGAGCACTCATAGAAATAAACTGAAAAACGCTTGGTTTGCTCTGCTCGGACCGCACCAGTGTGTGCCATAGACTGTGCACGCACTGTCAAACACATGGCGACGGCAAGCGTAGATGTTGACTCATTCAAATCGGAGCTGTGGCGGCATTTTGACTCTTCATAGACTAATAATAATCACCACCATGAGAAGCACATCACCTGCGTTTTCACGTAAAAGTCATTAATACGATAAGTGTGAAAGAGCTACGGAGATCACAAGGTGCATAAGTGTTTCCATGGCAACCATGTGTTGTATTTAGTTTTACTATCTCTAAATGTCGTGTACATGGATTTATTTATTTATTTTAAATTTGTTGATGTTTATGGCATATTTTGCTGAAAGTGTTCTGTTTTTCTAAATCTTTCTAGTTTAATGACACAAATTATGACAAAATTAAAATCTTTCTTTTATTACAATGTAAAACGCCTGTCATTGTGGTACTAATTTTACAGTCTTTTACTTAGTGTGCAAAGGTGCTAGTATCCAGCCTCTTGACCTGACAGACAGAAACACTGAGTTGAAACAACCTTGAAGGGATTTTTTTTTCAATGTAGTTTTATTATTTGACAAATGTATAGTTCAAAATGAAAAAAATAAATGTGCAGCATTTTGTCTGAGAAATAATAAAAGAGACACTTTTTCATTTGTAATTTGTCTTAAATCTCATTTGTTAAAAATATTGTGAGAAAATCGTATCATGAAACCGGTATCGTGAACCGTATCGCATTGTGAGTTGAGTGAATCGTTACATCCCTAGTAGTTATGCAACATATTGATACTATTATTCCTTCAACTGCAAATTAATGGACTATTGATGGTTGTAAAGAACAATCCTCCTTCCAGAGTGTTGATACGACTGAGTGTTGAGCCCTTAGCAAAGGACCCCGGACCCCATATTCCCGGAGCACCCTTCACAGGTTGCCTCGGGTGACACAGTCGAATGCCTTCTCCAAATCCACAAAACACATATGGACTGGTTGGGCAAACTCCCATGAACCCTCCAGCACCCTGTAGAGAGTATAGAGTTGGTCCAGTGTTCCACGGCCCGGACAAAAACCGCACTGTTCCTCCTGAATCCGAGGTTCCACTATCAGCCGTATTCTCCTCTCCAGTACCCTGGCATAGACTTTCCCAGGGAGGCTGAGAAGTGTGATCCCCCTATAGTTGGAACACGCCCTCCGGTCCCCCTTCTTAAAAAGAGGAACCACTACCCCGGTCTGCCATCCCAGAGGCACTGTCCCCGACCGCCACGCGATGCTGCAGAGGCGTGTCAACCAAGACAGCCCCACAACATCCAGAGACTTGAGGTATTCGGGGCGGATCTCATCCACCCCCGGTGCCTTGCCACTGAGGAGTTTCTTAACCACCTCGGTGACCTCAGCTAGGGTGATGGAGGAGTCCATCCCTGAGCCCTCAGCCTCTACTTCCTCAATGGAAGACGTGACGGCGGGATTGAGGAGGTCCTCGAGGTATTCCTTCCACCGTCCGACGACATCCCCAGTCGAGGTCAACAGCCGCCCCCCCCCCCTACTGTAAACAGCATTGGTAGGGGACTGTTTCCCTCTCCTGAGGCGCCGGACAGTTTGCCAGAATCTCTTCGAGGCCAGCCGATAGTCCTTCTCCATGGCCTCACCGAACTCCTCCCAGGCCCGAGTTTTTGCCTCCACGACCACCCGGGCCGCAGTGCGCTTGGCCTGCCGGTACCTGTCAGCTGCCTCCGGAGTCCCACAAGCCAACCAGGCCCGATAGGACTCCTTCTTCAGCTTGACAGCATCCTTTACATCCGGTGTCCACCACCTGGTTCGAGGATTGCCGCCTCGACAGGCACCGGAGACCTTACGGCCACAGCTCCGAGCAGCCGCTTCGACAATGGAGGTGGAGAACATGGTCAGACTCAATATCTCCAGCCTCCCTCGGGATCTGGTCGTAGCTCTGCCGGAGGTGAGAGTTGAAGATCTCTCTGACAGGAGATTCGACCAAACGTTCCCAGCAAACACTTACAGTACGCTTGGATCTGCCGAGTCTGTCCAGCCTCCTCCCCCGAGTGCCCAAGACATATGGCCGCAGGTCCGATGAAACGACCACAAAGTCGATCATCAACCTACGACCTAGGGTGTCCTGGTGCCACGTGCACTGGTGGACACCCTTATGCTTGAACATGTTGTTCGTTATGGATAAACTGTAACTAGCACAGAAGTCCAATAACTGAACACCACTCGGATTCAGGTCAGGGGGGCCGTTCCTCCCAATCACGCCCCTCCAGGTGTCCCTGTCGTTGCCCACGTGAGCGTTGAAGTCCCCCAGTAGAACGACGGAGTCCCCAGTCAGGGCACTTTCCCACCAAAAAAAGCAGTCTCTGCTCCAGCTTGCGGCGTGAAATGGCCGTAATTCACAAGGTTTACTACATGTGCGCTCCGTATGCATGTGTGATTCTGATGTTGTGCAATGTTAATTATGCGGTGCCCAAGTGCATTAGGCCTGCATAAAACCAGCATATCAGACTGACCGGCTGGTGGCTGGTCATAGCCGATCGTGTGAAAATCGTGTATGTTTTGTGCGGTGAGTGGAGTCTATCTTAAATGCTTCTGATTGGCCATTGTGTTCAAGAAATCAACATGTATGTCTGGGATTGGCTAAATCGCTCAACGTTGCAAACATGTTATAAATAGAAACTCTGGCATGTAAATCGTTTCTATTTTGTTTTAGTTGTTCTTGTTGCTTTTCTGCAACAGATGAATACAAATCTATGAGCCTAGTTTTTAAGTTTTTATCATAGAAATTCCTAGTTTGCAGCAGTCCCACGAATCGTTTTATTCTTCCACAGAGTGAGTGCATAACCGCCCATGCTCGTGCTCAACCATCAAATCTAGTCCCGCGCCGCACTCTATTGCGTTGGCAGTGCACGTCTCTCGAGGGCCCGGCCCAACCCGAGGATAGTGACAGGAAATATCGACCCGACCCGCTCGGGCAGAATAAGCTCTAGTTCACTCCTATGCTAAGGAACAAACTTCCCACTCTCACCAGTAGCCATTTACTTTTTTTTTTGCAAATGAATTCATTCAATCAATTTTTCGCCCACGCCTAATTCAGACCCGATGGAAGTGAAAGAGCAAAGACAAGAACTGAAGTTAAAGGTGATGATGCTGTAGTTTGTTTCAGCCTGTTGACACCAATAAAACAATTTAATGTGCCAATTTACAGAAGATCTCAGACATCACCATAATGAATGAGCTGAAAACAGGGAACTTTTGGAGACAAAGAGGTTTTTCAGCTGCTAAGTTTAACATGATGGCCCTGTACTTTTTAAATGCAGATTGGATAAAAACACATTGATCACAGTTCACACCTGCAGTGAAGCCCCTCCCACAACAATTCACCACTAAATACTGGGAATATTCCCATCATCCTACAAGAGAAGGACAAACTCCAGGAGTAGCAGCTGAAATCTGTGTGACTGTTAAAGATGGAGTTTATTAAAGAGGAGATTGAAGACGTGAGTGATCCAGAACCATCCAGAATAAAACATGAAGATACTGAGGAACAAATAGGTTGGTGTCCATTCTTGATTCTTCATTGTTGATGCTTTGATTGATGTGAATTATTAAGCAGTATATGGATGATAAATGATAGAAAAATACATCTAAGATCATAACCTTATATAGCAGTTGTCAACATTATTTTAACTATATAAACAATGAATGACAGAACAAATAGTGAAAGATCTGATCTCTTGTTTGCTTCTACTAAATTAGGGTTCACTTGAACTGATTCTAACTGTAGTTCTGTATTTTAGACCAGGTGAGAGTGAAAGAGCAAAGACAAGAACTGAATGAAGTGGAGGAGGAACATCGTAAATTTACAATTCAAAGAACAAAAGCCAAAAAGACGCACACCTGCTCTCAGTGTGGAAAGAGTTTCACACAGAATGGAAACCTTGTCACACACATGAGAGTTCACACTGGAGAGAAACCATATACATGCACTCAGTGTGGAAAGAGTTTTACTCATTCATCAGGTCTCAGTGTTCATCTGCGCGTTCACTCTGAAAAAAAAGCATTTAACTGTGATCAGTGTGGTAAAGATTTTATTTCATCAGCAAATCTAAAATCTCACCTGAAAGTTCATTCAGGTGAGAAGCTTTATGTGTGTTCTCTCTGTGGAAAGAATTTTTCATGGCTGGGCAATTTTAAACGGCACCAGAAAACACACAATGGAGTGAGTGATTATATGTGCTTTGACTGTGGGAAGAGTTTTACCCAATCAAGTCATCTGAAACTGCACCAAAGACTTCATACTGGAGAAAAACCTTACAAGTGCTCATATTGTGACAAGAGTTTCACTCAGTCTGGACACCTGAAATTACATGAGCGAATTCATACTGGAGAGAAGCCGTACGACTGTACTCAGTGTGGGAAGAGTTTTTCACATAAAGGAGCCTTTGACAAACACATGAGAATTCACACTGGAGAGAAACCGTATACATGCACTCAGTGTGGAAAGAGTTTTTCATGGCTGAACAGTTTTAAACGGCACCAGAAAACACACAATGAAGTGAGAGATTATGTGTGCTGTTACTGTGGGAAGAGCTTTACTACATCTGTTGATCTGAAACTTCACCAAAGAATTCATACTGGAGAAAAACCTTACAAGTGCTCATATTGTGACAAGAGTTTCACTCAGGCTGGAAACTTGAAAACACACGAGCGAGTTCATACTGGAGAGGAGCCGTACGACTGTACTCAGTGTGGGAAGAGTTTCAAATATCCAAATAGTTTAGTGACTCATATTAAAAGGCATTGTTCTGTGTCACAGTGAGCAAATGTTTTGTTATATTCATATAAAGTCCGACAAGAAATCGATCCAATGGCGGAGTTCGATTCGTGGTGAAGGTTTTATGTGTGTTCCGTCTTTTCCATGGCAAAGTGACTTTTAATTGAATGCAACACATTTAATCTTATGTATTAACTCTTTTCATCTGACTCCATAAAATGAAAAGGGTTTATCAATGATATCTGTGCATGATTTAATACGTTTATGCTTGACTATTCCTTTTAACTCTAATGAAAATAAAGTCAAAGTCTGTTAGAAATAGAATAGTCATAACAATTTATTATGTCAGGTAAATGTATTATTACAGTTCCACAAGATAATCAGAGCAAACAATCAAATGTTTTTAGAACAAAGAAACCTTACCCAACATATTAACTACATGAATGCTGAGCCTCGAAGACCCAGCATCATGGGCAGATCTGATACAGAATAGCAGCCCTGAACTCTTGTGCATTTCCCTTAAATAGAGCCAGACCTGATCTAATCACCAAATTTACCTGATCTAATCACCAAACTACAATGGAAGGTTACTGAATAATGCTTACTGGGGGAAGGAGAGTTTGCACTCAGACAAAAGGTAGAAGGTGATTAACTCAAAGACACATCCTTTTGTGTGGAAGATATTTCAATATCCTTAAAAACCTTATTACCTTTTCTTTTACATCTTTAGAAATGAGACATTATTACCAGTCACCCCAAGACTTTCAAAATGATATCAAACACTCCTTAATGATTATCACATTCACATTAAAACCATACTCTTGTGTGAGTTTCCTCTGCAAGAGTGGGTGTGTGTGTGTGTGTGTGTGTTGTTCAAGCAAAGTCCTTTTGTCTGGTCAGACTGATTACATCAACCAGTTCCAGTTTTCCAGTCTTACAAATTCAATACAATGAATCTGTCTGTTCCTATTGTAATTGTAAATTTCCTCATGTTTGTTCAAGGCTCTGCACCCTAATGCTACGTTCACACAGGACGCAAATAAGGCATCAGGCGCAAATGATTTCAATGTTAAGTCAATTGCGCGAATTGAGCGTCTGGCGCGTTAAGCGCGTATGGTTCAGTTTAGTGCTATTTGTGCATTCACGCATTTGACGCGAATTCGCGTCTGCCGCCCGAGTTGAAAAATCTGAACTTTGGTGTGAATTCGCGCCGCGTTAACCAATCAGGAGCCTAGCTGCTTGCTCACGTGGTGAAGTGTCTGTATGCTTAAATAAATGATTTTGTTAATATGACTAAATGCATGGTGGGATTATGCACAAAAAAAGCAAATATTTTATCACTTCAAACATTATTTTTATATACGAGACATGTTCATTTTGTATTGAATGTTATTTATTCTATATCTAGATTATATGAAATAGTATTATGATGTAAAGACAAACAACATATGTGCATAAGACATGTCTGGACGTGAGAGAGAGAAAAAAAATCACAGGACAGGTTAATAACTTTTGGAGGCTGGCTCTATTTATCATCAAAACAAAAATAAATGACAGATTAGATGGATGAGGGCGAGGGTGATCCTCGCTTCGATGCGGGACAACAGGTCATCAAACTGGGTGCGTGACAGGCGGAAGTACCGCTGACAGCGGTCGTCATCCAGCGCAGCTCCTGGAGCGAGCAAATGGTGAAACTCGCCAAACGGTTCAGCTCCAAATGGTCCGTTGGACACAAATATACGGTGACGATGATCCCCACGCCGCTGTTCTGCTCTCCAGAGTAAATACAGAGCGGTAACTCTCTTGATGAATGCTCGGTCGACATAAAAACAATGGCCGCCAACGGATTCCGATTCTGACGCGCGTCATGCGCGTAAATTTCGCTTCAAACTTTTGTTTTTACGCGCGCCAGTTTCGCTCTTGACACGCGAAATAACACAAAGTGGTCAAGCGTCAAACTAGACGCGTGAGGTGTGAACGTAGCATAATTCTGTCTGTCCGCGTCAGTACAAACCTGCAACACGCAGGAAAGTCCCGTTTCAGAAAAAAATCTGAATAGTCAGCCATCCACTCCCAGTAATATTTCAAAACTTTCAAGTTACCTGTTTTTTGACATTATAGAGGCATGAGACACACCTGCTGGACTAAACTTTAGTTATGTTAGTGAGCCTGTTCTGACACAGGGCATAATAATCCCTGAACTGGCTCGAGGCAAGTAGGCAGTCTACCATCTACCCCAACCCTGCTCCTGTCGATCGACTGTCCTACACAGTTCATCTCCAACTCTAATTAAACACACCTGCCTTTAATTTCCAAGTGACCCTGAAGACCTTAATTGGTTGCTTCAGGTGTGTTTGATTAGGGTTGGAGATAAACTGTGTAGGACAGTCGATCGGCTGGAGCAGGGTTGGGCACACCTGCTCTACCTCTAGAAAAAAATGCATTGTTGTCTTTGTTTCTTGGTTAAAAGGGGAGGAACGAAAAGAGGTAACTCACAGGCGCTGCAACGATCAGCTGTCGCTCACCAAAGCACTTCTGATAATGAGTATCTTCCAAGAACAGCAACAATGACACTCCAGATCCTTTTTTTACAGTGCAGCCAGCAAAATACTCAAACACAGCAATCTTCAATCGAGTTCGACCTTTTCGGCGGTATTGAAATGGAAACAAATGTTTTTTTATTAAATTACGCACAGCCCAAACACAGCTGATGGAGTGTCCTTCAGGAACCGCTACAACGGTAATCCCAACACTCTTCTGCAGTGCAGCCAGTGAAATACTTAAACACAGATAGATTAACGCCAGCTAGTTAAACAACTCCAGCAGCTCGATTTCATCCAGTTCACATTCACTCTGCGTTTTTAAACTTCAACCGCTTTAACCCTACACCCCTGTTGCTTAATTAAGCCTGCTACGTCCTTCCGCAGTGCAGAACCTCTCTTAATAATCACAATGCATTCTGGGCAATGTAGTTCCTTAATTTCGCCATGCTCTCCTTCCCTTGAACAGAACATCTCATAGTTCTCTATGAAGATGTTGAAACATTAAAATCCTAAGACCTCCTCTTCTTCATTTGAAGATTCATTGAAGAGATCGAGAATCGTTCGTTTCTCCTGAGTCTCCAACTCGGTAGCAGTTGGAAAACAGGGTTTTAAGTTTCAAACATGAACAGTGCGAACGTCTTCTTTACCAGTAGATTCCAGTGCTACTTGGTAATTCACTGGTCCCATTTGTTGTATGACCCGGTAGGGTTCCTTCCGTTTAGGTGCAAGTTTAGTAGTAAAGTTTGTCTTTGCACTGGATTGTGGGAACTGTCGGCAGTCTTTTTCTTTGAATAAAACATCCTATCGATTTATTGTAGTTTCTCAATTGTCTTCGGTGTGCTTTCTTACAGTTCTCTTTTGCTTTTGCGTGCAGTTGACTCAAGTGACACACTACTTCATAGTTAGGGGCATCTGGTGAGAGATCATGAACTTTAACTTTCAGAAGTTTGTTCATCGGCCCTTGTAACTTCCTTCCCAACTGATGTTTCGCAGGAGACATTCCCATAGTTTCTTGCACTGCTGAGTTGATGGCAAACCTAAATTTGGGTAGGTATTGATCCTAACGTTTTTTTTTTTTTTTTTTACTATCAATTTACTTTCTCTGACGTGTTTGTCTGCGGGTGGTGGACGGTCAACTTTGGTGTTATGTTCCAGTTTTCACATAATTCTTTAACCCACTGGGGTCGAAAATCACGCAGGCGTGATATGCTCACTTTTTTTCTTAGTGCAAATGAGACTCAAAATACTCTGTTTATTTTGATCTTACTGTGTTATACACAGGGCCTGAAATTAACACCCGACCACCTGCCAAATGCGGGTGAATTTTGCTATTGGCGGGTAACACTGTCAATCTACCTGCCACATTGGCAGGTAGCCAATGAGATTTGAGTGATTCATTAGGATTTTTACTTTTCAACTAAGTCCGCCATTGCGTTTGACTTTAGCTAAAATGTGGCGGCACATTACTGGGGTAAAGAGGCCAGCTGAAACAAATGACCAACAAAAAGATGAGGATGAGAAAAAGAAGACATTTTAATACAAAGTGGACAATTGGCGGCAATGGCAAGGTTCGTGAGCGGCTGATTTATGACAGCGACTGTTGTTTCGTAACGTTCATGCGATCAGAAAGAAGATGAGGCTCTTTTTCTGACTACGTGTGCGAGTATTAAACTGTTGGTGAGATGGGATGAGATAATGTAACGCGTCGCTGTTGTAGGTTAAAGTACAATGACAGTTGCACAGATGTGTGTGCGTGTGCAACTGTGCATGTTGGGAGTTGGGAACCGGTGAGAAAATGTCCGGTACCCGGTAGTTTTATCAGTAATAACAGTATTAATTTAGTTCATATTTAACCGTTCTTGAACGCTGTAACTAAAAGCTGTTAAGAGTAAGACCTGTCTACGTGAATAAATCCGCCATCAACACAGCCGCGTGTGATTTGTTTACGAGCTGCGGTGGGTCTATCTGTTGAGTATATACTATATTATAGCCTATACTATATATGTTGTGTGTCTGTGTGTCTGTCAAAATCAATGAATAAAAAGATTTTTTTTTTAAATGTATGTTATTAGAGTTATTATTACTTGACAGCACTTAAATGTGTATTCTTACAAGTTAAAGAACAATATTGTGAAATTCCCGGGGGTTTTTTTTTTTTACGTTTATGAGGCAAAAAAAAAAAAAAGGCTGGTAAAAAGTCTCTGTGGCAGGTGAATTTTTAAATCCACCTGCCACAGTGGCCGGTGGCCGAAAAAATTAACTTCAGGCCCTGGTTATACATCATTAGATCCTGTTAAGTTTCTATTTTTTGTGGATACTCACAATAAAAACAAAGTGTTCTGCTTTTCCTTAAATAAAGAAAAATAAACATGATATAAGTTTTGCATTCTCTCTGTCAGAGAAGTCCCTGTTACCTGTTTCAATTCAAGGAGCACGGATTCAGCTGATGTAGCAAGTCATTTTTTCTTAAGTGCTTTGTTCTAATCGCGTTATTGATTAGTGTCTGTGAACTGCACAAAGACTGTTTGACTATTAAATGCGCGCTGTGTGAGTTCATTCACTCTCGCTCCTACATTAGTAAGACTATATAGACTACTGAGATTTGTTCTATACAGATCTGTAAAACCAAAAAGACTGTTTAAATATGAATCGGGTGTGTGGGTATGTGAACGAACGAACGCACAGATGCATAGCCTACTGTTACAGACAGAATTGATTATAATGTTTTTACTATAAAAAAGACATCAAATAAGCTTTAGTTAGATGGTTTCTGCTCATATGTTAAATATATAGTATGTTTTGTCAACAATAAACTAATCAGCTGTTAGAACAGAATCAGAATTTTCCTTTCAAGATGTTTCCAACTCTAACTTTGAACCAGTTCTATACAATGACCCATATAACCTATTTGACCAGGATTTGTTTCCAGGTATGACAAAAAAATAAAGGTTTTTGATTTTCATTTATATTTTGATTTTATACATACATGTATGTATGTATGTTTGTATGTATGTTGTCCTTTCACCTGAATGAAAGGCTTATTATTATGCGTGTCTTTGTCTATCTCAGGTGAGAATCACCTAATTTTACATGATGACGGCTGGCCTGTTCACACCCATTCGCATATTGCTTTGGCAAAAAAAAATGTTTTTCACATTATAACCCAATTCACAGTTTTATGTGAATGATTAGGCAGGATGTTTTTTAGATCATTGTCAAGAAAAAGCTCTAGGCCACAGCATCTATTAGTCAAAAGTCTTTTGGACGCAAATTTTTTTTCAATTACCACGCATAAACAATATTCTCTCAAAATTACAAACATGTACATACATGTTGCTCACATATTATGGTAGCCCTGTTTCTGCTAAATATAGTGTAATTTCACCTGTGCCATTAATAGGTTTATAAGCAACTGGAAAAAAGCACAAATGTTAGGGCATCTCAAAACATCTCAAGCACCCCAAATACACCCTGACCCTAGACTTTAGAGGGTTAAATACTGCAGAAACAAACTGTGTGCCTCTGTCAGACACCAGAAAATCTGAGACTCCCCATCTGGTTAGGATTTCTTTTCTGAATAGTTTTTTGTAGTGACAGTCTAATTGTAGTGACAGTCTTGGCGGTATCTATACCCATGGGGAAAACTTCTACCCAGCGGGTGAAGTAATCAACACTAAAAGGTACTCATTTTGGTAAGTGCTACAGGGTAGGATTCCCATGAGATCTACCCCCATCATTTGATTAGGTTGGTTGCTGACAATTTTCTGCATCATTCCAGGAGGTTTCTGTTGGTCAGCTTTTAAGTGTTGGTGTTTTACACGTCTTTTTAAAAACCATTTGATGTCGGACCACATCCCAGGCCAAAATATTACATCCTGAATTCTTTTGTATGTTTTATAGATCCCCAGATGAACACTTATAGGGCTACAATGATAATGTTCCAATATATGAGGTACAAGATCTTTGGGAACAAATATACGGTAATGGAACCGGATTCTCTGACAGTTGAGTTTTGAGGTACAGCTTATCTTGTATGACTTCATATTTGGCTTGCTGGTTGTCCTTGTTCTCAGCCAAAATTTGAAAGATTTTTGTTATTTCTGGGTCATTGTTCTGTTTTTCTGCAACATGACATCAGGAATTTTGCGTAAACATATACGCCACTTTCGAGTCAGGTGGCGTGTTATCTGTACGCATTTTGAGCTATCCGCGTGTATGCGTATATGTCTACGCCATTAACGTCCGCGTCATTTCACGTGTCTGTATACGCAGTCAAATCTCCAGTCATAAATGCCATTAACCCCAGTGACGGTTAAGTTTAGGGACGGGGTTGAGGTAAGTCATATCTTTTTTTTACCTAGGATGGTAAGGGAACAGTCATAAATGCCATTAACCCCAGTGACGGTTAGGTTTAGGGACGGGGTTGAGGTAAGTCATATATTTATGTAAGCAATAAGGTACTCGAGGCAAGTGCTGTATCGTGAATAAGTAACGGCTGAAGGGGTTGCAGGCACTCCGCTTCGCGTCATGCCTAACAACGCCCTTCAGCCGTTACTTATTCACGATACAGCACTTGCCTCGAGTACCTTATTGCTTTTATAAAACGGTTGCCACACAATATTAAAGTAAAAAAACAATGTATTAGTGCAACTTTCATGTAGTTTAATCAATAAAAACATTCCTTCCGCTAGAAAAATATAGTCCCTGACTGTGAAGAGCAACGTTCCAATGCAGGAAAGCTCAAATAAAAACAACAAACCATTCTCAAACTTTGTCTCATTATTTTTATTTTTTACAACACAAAGTTTGTGAAATTTCCTCACACCAATAGGTATAGCTTATCTCTCAGCAAAATAACAAATAAAATAAACAGAAGGGCACATATTTTATATATAACAGTTAGGTCTTTAATCTAGTTATTAATTTAGTCGCTAAAATGCTGCCTAACAAGAGATACTTTATTTATTGTTGTTTATTTAAATTTATTTGAACATCTCCGTTTATTGTGCACGCATTAAATATTTGTCTCATTTCAATCGGCTCCACTGTGGTGATATTTAACGCGGTCCTCTTTTGTTGGGGCTCAGCGCTGTCAGCTGTGTTTTCTGTTGTAGCAAGAATGTCACTCCAGTGCTTTCTTTGTTTTAAGTTTGGCCTCCAGTAGCTCTGTAGTGAACTTTCACACTTATGTCCACTCACAGACATAATCTCCCTCGATTCGAGACCAGCATCGGACAATCTCTGCACCATGGTACTGCGCAGGCAGTGATTTGTGTAAATCTTGGAGGTACCTGCTGCTTTACAAATTGGTAGTTCACACCCATAGGCTCTCTTGTGTACCTGCAACAGTCAAAAACGAGAAAAACCTTTAACACAACAAGATTTAACACAAATTATAAAATAGCTTATATGATTTATGTGCCGCTGCGTCTACGTACCAAACACATTTAGAGAGGTTTTGCTTTTTGGGGTGAAGGTAAAAAGCGGGAGGGTTAGATGGCAGAAGAGAAAAGTACTTCTCTAGAGAGGCAACGGGACAAAGAAGGTTCCCAGTTTGTTGGAACATGAAGCCACGCCTGCTATCCTTATTTCTGTCATGTGGGTCCTTATGGTTTTTTGTGTCTTCATTGAAGCTCATTGTGACATACTTCAGACCATTTTCGTTTGTTAAAATGCGGAATGAGTCTGGAATGAGTTCTCAGTTCCCCTCTTTTCCTCTGCGTCCGAAGTGTAACTGCACGTCAAACCAGACTTTGTTTACGAGTCCTTCAGGTGTGTTGGGATTAAGCACATCGGACAGTTTTATTGTGCTGAAATCTTTAGCAGAAATCGGTGTGTGATGCTCCGTTTTATCACGACCCTCTCTTCTCATTGTCTTTACGACTCCAACGAAAACATTATTGGATGAGATGAATTCACTGTCTCTCATCAGACACCAGGACAAACTCAAAGGTGGATCATTCAGGAATCTGTTCAGACCTGCAAGTAACGCTATATAGCTACTGATCCCATATTTTTCTCCTTTGGAGCTTCCGACAGTTCCGTAGAAGTCACGGAGAAGTGCGTTGAGTTCCGTCTTGGTGATTTGTTTAAAATCTATGCTGCAACCCTTTTCACTACACCAGTCACCGAAGCATTTCACTGCCCATTGGGTTTGCTGCACGGTATTTTTTTCATTACAAGTCTTCTCGAATGTGTCAATGTTACATTTCAGCACTTCAGCATGACGGTTCATATTTCTAGAAGTCTCTCCAAATTGTTCCTCAAACCACTTATCCATCGTCATGCCACCCAGTAAATCGAAATTTACTTTAAACATTTTAGCCTTTTTAATTCTTAAGTTTTTTTCTATGTTTATGTTGATATGTGTGGTTGCTAAGGGTGTTGCTAAGGGCGCAGTGATAAATAGAACCGTTGGGTGAAGCGGTCATTGCCGTGTTTTATCGTGAATAAAGCACAGCTCTTGACCAATCAGAATCAAGGATTGGAACTAACCGTTTTATAAATAACGTTAAGTCAACGGCGTTCATAAACGCTGAAAGGCGATTATGCGTCATGATAGCGCGCCAAAAATGGAAATACGAATTGCCGTGTCATACACACGCTACTTCATGAGATCAGTCTGTTTTCTGAGATTAATTCTGTAGTATCTGGAAGTGGGCTGACATCCTTCTGACTGACTTACCACTTGTATGTGAGATAATCCGTGAGAGAGAGCTGCATTTAACTTTCCCTTTCGATACTCAACAATGAAATCGTATTTTTGCAACTGTAGGGCCCAACGAATAAGACAGCTAGTGGTTTTGGGTGAATTCATTACCCACTGCAAAGCAGAATGATCGGTAACGACAGCATTCTGTAATCCAAGTAGTGCTGCCTAATGCCCATATTATGGCTAAACACTCCTTCTCTGTCGCCGAGTACTTTGTCTTGGCCGGATTAAGAGTTCTACTAGCATAAGCTATGTATATAATACTGCTATTTCATTGTGCCTGTCGATTTCAGATCACAGATTCCACTTGTTTTTTTTGTAATTATATCAGGGTTGACTTGAAAATTCACATTCATCCTCCAGAACTCATTCTAACAATTTAACGTTTTATTGTTTCCGACCCGATGGAAGTGAAAGAGCAAAGACAAGAACTGAAGTTAAAGGTGATGATGCTGTAGTTTGTTTCAGCCTGTTGACACCAATAAAACAATTTAATGCACCAATTTACAGAAGATCTCAGACATCACCATAATGAATGAGCTAAAAACAGGGAACTGCAAAGAGGTTTTTCAGCTGCTCAGTTTAACATGATGTCCGTGTACTTTTTAAATGCAGATTGGATAAAAACACATTGATCACAGTTCACACCTGCAGTGAAGCCCCTCCCACAACAATTCACCAATAAATACTGGGAATATTCCCATCATCCTACAAGAGAAGGACAAACTCCAGGAGTAGCAGCTGAAATCTGTGTGACTGTTAAAGATGGAGTTTATTAAAGAGGAGATTGAAGACATGAGTGATTCAGAGCCATCCGGAATAAAACATGAAGATACTGAGGAACAAATAGGTTGGTGTCCATTCTTGATTCTTCATTGTTGATGCTTTGGTAGATGTGAATTATTAAGCAGTATATGGATGATAAATGATAGAGAAACGATCATAACCTTTAACAGTTGTCAAACAAATTTTAACTATGTTAACAAGTGAGTGACAGAACAAAGAGTGAAATATCTGTTCTCTGTTGTTTTCTGCTATTAAATAAATTCGCTTGAACTGATTCTAACTGTATTTCTGTGCCTTTTAGACCAGATGAGAGTGAAAGAGCAAAGACAAGAACTGAATGAAGCAGAGGAGGAACATCGTAAATTTACAGTTCAAAGAACAAAAGCCAAAAAGATGCACACCTGCACTCAGTGTGGAAGGAAAGTAGACCTTAACACATGCATGAGAATTCACACTGGAGAGAAACCGTATACATGCACTCAGTGTGGAAAGAGTTTCAGAGATGCATCAGCTCTCAGTGTTCATCTGCGTGTTCACTCTGGAGAAAAGCCATTTAACTGTGATCAGTGTGATAAAGATTTTATTTCATCAGCAAATCTAAAATCACACCTGAAAGTTAATTCAGATGAGAAGCCTTATGTGTGTTCTCTCTGTGGAAAGAGTTTTTCATGGCTGGGCAATTTTAAACGGCACCAGACAACACACAATGGAGTGAGAGATTATATGTGCTTTGACTGTGGGAAGAGTTTTACCCAATCAAGTCATCTGAAACTGCACCAAAGACTTCATACTGGAGAAAAACCTTACAAGTGCTCATATTGTGACAAGAGTTTCACTCAGTCTGGAACCCTGAAAGAACACGAGCGAATTCATACTGGACAGAAGCCGTACGACTGTACTCAGTGTGAGAAGAGTTTCACACAGAAAGGAAGCCTTAAGACACACATGAGAATTCACACTGGAGAGAAACCGTATACATGCACTCAGTGTGGAAAGAGTTTTTCAAGGCTGAACAATTTTAAACAGCACCAGAAAACACACAATGGAGTGAAAGATCATGTGTGTTGTGATTGTTGGAAGAGCTTTACAACATCTGGTGACCTGAAACAGCATCAAAGAATTCATACTGGAGAAAAACCTTACAAGTGCTCATATTGTGACAAAAGCTACACTCGGTCTGCACACCTGAAAACACACGAGCGAGTTCACACTGGAGAGAAGCCGTACGACTGTACTCAGTGTGGAAAGAGTTTCACCCACTCAAGTAATCTAGCGACTCATGTTAGAAAGCATTGTTCTGTGTCACAGTGAGCACGTTTTGTTAGATTCATATAAAGTAAATGTGTAGTTAGTTAACTAATAAACTAGTGTTACTGTGAAATGCCACATGATTTGTGATTTATATGTTGGGGAACAAGAATAATATTGAAAAGTATTTCAATTGAACCCTTACTCAAAGAAATACTTAAATGAAAAGAGACTGGAAACAAATGCAGAAAAACAGCAACAATCAGTTATTTTTTTAAAGGGGGGGTTGACTGCGATTTCACTTTTTCATTTTAAATAGTGTGTAATGTTGCTGTTGGTGCATGAACAGTATCTGCAAAGTTGCAGCGCTGAAGGTTTAATGTAAGCAGAGATATCGTCTTTTTAAAATCAGGAAGTTTAATTGCCTACAAAAACGACTCGATTGGGACTACAGCTGGGTCATGGTACGTCACTAACCCACACATTTATATAAACCACTCCCTTCGGAATAAGCAGAAAAGGACATGCGCATATTTCAGCAGCTCCAGCTCGTCGAGTGTGTCGTGTTCATCCAGCTGTCAGGTCTTCTGTGTTCAAGCTTCCCACGGACGCTGTACTTCGTCAACAATGGATAGAATTTATGTTTGATTATGTTCCTCAAAATGATGATCGTAATCTAGCTCTCTGTGCTGCGCATTTTACGGAAGACAGCTTCCAGAAACTCCACGAGTTCAACACCGGATTCAACAAGAAACTGTTACTAAAACATGAAGCAGTTCCGACTTTAAAACCAGAGGCAGCAGTTGTTGGGCCATAACCTGTAAGTAGGCTAAGACTTAATCATTTTCATGTATATTTCCAGACGTAGCCTTGTTTTATATTTTTCAAATGCCAGTGCTGGCTTTATAGCCACTAGGCTACTAGTTATGCTATTGTGTCTACGAAAAGCACGTACAAACATTATGGACCTGAATTTTGTATAAGTACTGATGTTTTAAACGTATTTTTCATGTATATATGCTTTATGACGTTATTTTCGATTTGATCAAGAACGTAAACTAATGCCAACGCTGTTTGAGTATAACATTAGTAGCCAGTCAGTTGCTATCATTGCCAGTCAGATGCTATTGTGTTAAAAAATGTAGCAAATTATCATTCAGAAACGTTTAGTAAGAGCCGTGTGTGGACTCTCTTCATCGCCGCTTTCTCGGTCTGATTCTGCCTCAAACTGATCCTGCAGTTCGACACATATTTACATATGGACCGGAGTTCACGTTTCGCCTGTAAAGGTAATGGGCGTTAACCTTCCGGACAACGTAAGCGACAGTTTAGCCAATCACAACACACCGGCCCAAACTAACCAATCTGAGCCCACAATGTGTTTCTGAGGGAGTGTTTTCATAGACTCAGGAAGTCAACCGCTCGTTCGAGGACAGAGGAGAGCGCGGCTGACAATAAAGGTGAAATTTATGGAAAATAAGACTTTTAAAAAAAGAAAAACCACGAATACATGTTATATTGCACCCCATAAACACAATCATGCAAAGAAAAAAAAGCAGTCAACCCACCCCCACCCCCCTTGCTTGAGGAAGAGCTGCACCCATCCCAGCATCTATTCAATCAATCAATTCAACTTTATTCGCCACGTATACAGATACTAGAAATTTGATTTGGTATTCTTCATGCAGGCAACACACAGTAAAACTGAAAGACCAAAAAACAGGACAAAAACATAATACAATGTAACGACTGTGGAGTCGGCCAGGTGAACATCTTTCAAATCTCACAGTTGCAAAGCCGAAGACTTGAACACTGTTACACCCACACAAACACACATCAACATTGTTGTGTGTAACTTAGGATAAAAATATCCTTTTAATATACACTCAGGTATGCTTGTGTGATTAGTTTTGTTTATAATAAAGGTGTGGTTTTCTAATGTGTAAGTGTTTATTGGAAGAATGTTCCCCAACATTGTCTTGCAACCCTACTTCGGGACTTGGTCGTTAGCGGATATTGATTTGCAAACACCGTCCATTTCTTCTTGAGGAAACAAAGAACACTCTGTTTACGAGTTCCTTGGAGCATGGCTGGTGTTTTCCGTGGAACATGACACATTTATAGAGTTGGGTCCGAGTCCAACCCCAACTCTACACATTTATAACAAGGCAACATGGTAACCAGAAGTACACCCCACTGTTGAAAGCTAAATAACCCCCCTCCTCCAAGAGAGATCTGGAGGAGCCAACACATGCCAACACACACAAACACATTTAACACACAAAGACCAGCCATGGAACCTTTCAGAGAAAAGTACCTATAAATATTGAATGTATTCCTTTTGAGTGTCGATGTCTTCACATGCCATACGGGAACTACTGACAATTTTAATGTGTGTAAATCAAAGTTTAAAATGCCGGTATTTCTGCATATGAATGTAGCATGTTTATTCTACATTTATATTTCATGTTTGGTACCTGGTTAACCTCTGCACTCTGACTGAACCAACCATATACAGGAGATTACAGTAAAATGTATTATTCTATTTGTACCATCTTTCGGGATAGAGATGACGAATTCTAAACGCCGTCATTAAATCATGTAAACGAACTGTCCGACAGGACAAATAAAGTTCTTCCAGCTTCAGATTCTCGGACGGTCATTGGTTGGTCGCGTGAACCATCCTCTCCCTAAGAGACCGACCTAGAGTTTGCCACGGAGCACTTTTTCCTGTGATCGATTTTTCCACATGGCTCCTCTGGGAGCTTTTCACTGTTACTATTTTCTTTTTCTTTAAGTCTTTTCTTTAATTTCACGTTCTCCTCTCCCTCCACGAGGGAGATGAACTCATTTCTTGGTTAACTTCACATTCATCAAACCTTTAAACTTCCTGCGAGTCTGCTCGCCCCGGAAAAGACATGAAAGAACACGCCCTCTCCAAAAAGGATCCACACACGACTAAGTTCCTCAGCGATACAAAGAGAACCATATGCAATTATGATATACGGGAAATCGCAATAGAAAGACGATTCCGATATATCTAAATATGTTTAGTGAAAGGTAAAACTTCTGAAATCTCTGTGTAAACAATGTGTGACGTAGACGCACGAGAGATCACTTCAGGTGTAACGTCTGGAGACGGTTCAGTTCGGTTCAATTGGACATCTGATTCAGATCAGTTTGACGGCTGTTAACAAGAGATAAGATGGCCCAAGACCCGAAACGAGCGGTTTGTGTGAGAAAACGAACAGTATTTATATCGTTTCTACCTCTTGTAATCACAGTCACGTCCAAGTGATCTGACGGCACGGGCGCTTCGGTCTGTGCAAGCGCCGGAAGTGATCTCTTGCGCGCCTGCGTAAAAAAAAAAAATCAACGTTGTCTGTTGATAAATCGAAATCGTCTTCCATTGCAATTTCCTGTATATCTAAATATGTTTAGATCTTCACAGTGAAGAGTAACACTTCTGAAATCTCTGTGTAAACAATGAGTGACATACACACGCGAGAGATCACTTCCGGGCTTTCCGGCGCTTGCGCAGACCGAAGAATAATTGGACGTGTCTGTGGTTACAAGAGGTAAAAACGATATAAATACAGTTCGTTTTCTCAAACAAACCGCTCATTTCGTGTCTTAGGCCATCAGTGTGTACTTACATTCGCGAGTCATTAAATCATGTTTAATTTGGACTTCTCTGTGCATGCTCTTTGAGGTGAACCGAGGGAGGACCCCCTTAACATCCAGTGTATGACAGACAGACAATAACGGTTTGACCCAAAAATATCAAAATTGAAACTACTGTGGAAACAAAGACACCTACATCTTGGATGCCCTTGAGGTAAGCTAAAACATATCAAAAATTAATTTCAAAGTGAACTATTCCTTTAAAGGCAGAGCTGCAATCCACAAACAGGAGTCTTGTGTAGGTGTTCCAAATGTCCAGGTATCATAGACTGAAGTGAAGTGCAATGTTAATTGCATCGTCAACTGAATGGTTGGGTCTATATGCAAATTGAATGGGGTCCATGAGGTAGTCAATAGAAGCTTTGAGATAATAGAGAACCAAGCGTTCAAATGCTTTCATGACTACAGAGGTGAGGGCGACTGGTCTGTAGTCATTCAAGCAGGTGATCTTGAGCTTTTTTGGCACCGGAATGATGATGCAGATTTAAAAC